AAGGCAGATAAATTATGGTAGTTAAAGCATAGTTTGATTTGTGCAGGTTATTTTGTGTTCTTAAGTACATTATTTAATTATATAAAAATTATTTTGTGTACTAGTACCATTAGTATAAATAGGCTTAACTTTCATCAACAGTTGACAGCAAAAAAACAAGACACACATAAGTACCATATTTCTTGTTTTATGTGTATGTTCTTTACTTATTATTACAAAAATGTAAAAATAGAAATGTATTAGGTTAGATAAGGTTATATTTGGTAAAATAATAAAATTTCAGAAAGTATTCTCTCAAGCAGCTCGTGCATTACATAATTCAATATGGTAACTTGAGCTACGGTTTTGCCAAGTGATTCACAACTTGTGTGGCAGGATTATTAGTTAGACATGGGTCAAGGGACAATAAAACAATAAAATTTTATAAACATATATATATATATATTATTATAAGCTTTAACTTATTTCTGGTTACAAGTTGCAGTTATTTTAAAAAGAAAAAGTGGTAATTTTGATTTATTTTGTATTTTTTATGATGGTTATGAGGTTTTACTGAACAAAGTTTATATTTATTAAGGAAGTTTTAAAGATTACACCAATGAAATTTGACAATTTTCAGATGAAAAAAAATATTTGTAATCTTAACATGAAAATCACTTTGCACTTGAAGAAGTCAACACTTTGACTCTGCATATTCGCAGACAAATTTTTAGTAAAATACCTAATTAAAAAATCTGATATTTTGTGTATATATATAAAGTAATGTTTACTAAAAGGTTGTGAAATTTTGTGAAGATACACACAAATCATATTAAAATGTATAGTATGGAAATTGATGGTCACTTTGGGGTTACAAACTCATTTGAATCGACTGAGCCCTTAGAACCCAATGAGAGGGTTAAGGTCTTGATGTTGCAATTTTTAAGCATTCATCCTTTACTGACTGATTCTTGGGATTGATTTCATTTGAAACATTTTTTTTTTTTTTTAATGAATACTAAAAGAGACAAAAAGTCAAAGTTCTGATGAAAATAATGATGATTTTATTCTCATGAAAAAATTGTAGCAGTAACATGCAAAGGTCACCTTCTACTAATTTCCAGTCCAACAATACCATAAGAACAAAGTAATAATGCAAGGATGGTGTTTAGTGGAGAAATGCTGTAATATCAAGGTACAGGCTTACACTGGTCAAGACTGATCTGATACACATATCTAAAGTCTGTAAATATTACATAAATTTTGAATATTATAGGCATAAAGTAATAGATGGGCTAGATGCTTTGATAGCAATTGTTCCTTCCCACAGATATGCTAATTGTTAAACCACTCTCAAACATTATAGGCAGGTTAACTAGAAACATTGCATGCTATTTGTTAGTAAGTAACAGTGGTGGCATACAATGCTCTTAATACACTAGTAGAAGGCACAACATTAATTGGGACTTCAGAACAACAATTAGGTATGAAGCTAAGAATTTTGCAGTTATTCTCTAAAGCTACAATGTTCTGTTTTGTATCATGATTTTGCATGTTTTTTTTTAATTTAAGTGAATGTAGCAAGCAAGATAGTACAAAGGTCTCACTTAGACTTTTGCAAATTGTGTTATAGAGAAAAACAAATCTTGGCTAGAAAATGCCATGTCTAATGGAGGATTTGCAAGGGCTTTGACAAATGCAAAAGCTCTTGCTGAAAATATGGAGATTGATTCAAATTTCTAATCAGACAATGAAATTAATTGGAAACAAAAACTTCTGTTTGGATACGACTAATGAAGAGATAAACTCATTCAGTACCCAGTGCAAAAATTCTGAATAAGTCTTTTGTACCATTCTTGACACTGCCATTCAATATCTTCAAGAAAGATTTATTCAATTAAAACAGCACAAAATGACTTATTTCTGTTTCTGTTTGGTACATTAATATTTAGAAATCAAATTACATTAGAATAACTGCATAAACCTTAATATTTCTCTTACAGATCAACAGTTTCAATCATGAGATGTTATACTGGAGTTCTGTGATTTTTAACTTCAAGCATTGTCAGTAATTATCCCATCAGGGATATCTCATTTTATATAGTGGATTACCTAGTAGAAAATAATCTCTTTGTTCTCACATATTTACATTGCTTTGAAAATTTTTCTGACATTGTCAACCATAGTTGCTAGTAGAGAACAAAGCTTATCAAAACTTGAGCTTTCCTGAAATTCCTGATGACACAGGCATGTTTATTTTGTCTGTCATATTGAATGATAATCAAATTGCTGAATCATTGGGCAAGAAACAGCTTGTTCAATATTTTATTTCATAGTATGCCTAGAAAGTTAATTTTTAGTTTTGCTCTTTTTGTCTTGAATGTGTAAAGTGTTGCATTCAGCATTCTAAATGTTTGATTTTGTTTGGAAATTTCAAACTTAAAAGTTGAAATGAATTTATTTAATATGCATGAAATAATAAGTACACATGCTTTACCATATAAAATAGTTCACTTCATTTTTTATCCCCACATCATGTAGTGTAATAACCTTAGCCTACAGACACCCAATAGCAGATTTTAGGAAATCTTGCATGCATTATGAAACTTAAATCTCAGTTAGCATATTTATCATTTTATATGTGAATTTGAAAAAACTCTAGCTGTGTTAAGTAAAATAAAATGGAAGAAATTTCACTATTTATTGATAGATTTGCAAATGAGAAAAATAATTAAATTGTTATTATTTTATTCAGCCATCTGTGAGAATCCTTCAGACTCTCACAAATATACTATAATAGGTCCAGTTTAAGGTTTTATAATATGTGTAACTTTTCTTTTGTTGTTTGATTAACAATACTAAAAATAAAATTCATTCTGTATAAATGGTTCATAAGAGTCTTTGAATAGGAACAACGTTTTGCTAAGAGCAAATGTAAATGTACCTAAATGTAAACCTTGATTCTTGCTGAAGTGGCCTTGTAAAAATACCCTTTTTCTGTAGTGAAAAGCTTTGAATTTTGTAACTTATTAAGGTAGCATTTAGCATGTAGGTAGCCCTACATTAATATATATGGTTTCTTGCATGTTCCCCTCTTTTTTTTTTTTTTTAATGAGTGAAAGGGTTAGTTAAGTGGTGAGATGTAATACTTAATACACATTAAAATACTATTTGTGTTGTAGTAATTACTTATTATTTTCATTACTGAAAATATATTAAAGTGCTTGATTTTGCATTGCTGCACTATTGACTCTACCCTAATCACTTGCACCTCTCCCCCCTCCCCCCAGAGTTCATTGTACCCCAGGGGGTGTCCTACACTTTGGGAAGTGCTGTATTAAGATGTAAAAACCTGTACTGATCTATTGCAATTATACTTTCTAGACTTTCTAGTAAAATGAATGTTAAAGGACTTTTTTTCTTAAAGTAAATGAATACTGAATCATATTTTAGTTTTGTAACGTTTACTTGAAAAGGATTTGACCAAACTACTATGATGCAACAGAAAAGATAGCACACAGAATTGACAAGATGACAAATCTGAAATCAACATTAAGCTCATATATATATATATATATATATATGGATGAAAACTGCTTTCAAGGAAAAAGAGCAACTCTGAGAATTATCAGTTGAAATTACTTGGAAGTTATCTTAAAATATTCTCTGTATCAATAATAAACGTTCTGAAAACTATAGTAACACAAATTACTACAATTATAATAATCTCTAAGTAAATTACAAGTTATTTAGGCTTGTATGAAAAAATTCAGCAGGAATTGTATTACTAAAATGATGAGCAAAAACTAAGGTGTAGGAAAAATATATACTAACATTTGATAGTAAACATAATTTGTTACATTTTAAACCTATTATTAAAAAGAAATGTCATTGTTAGATACAACCAAGACATTACTGTGCTATAATATTTTCATCTTTAGCATCAAGGGATTATATTTCCATACTTTTCTAACTATTGGTTATTTTATCAAATTTATGAGGATTGCATGGAAAGGCTACTATCATCAAAAGAGGCTTGAATTTTATTGAGTGCACCCACACTGTTTTACACTAGTTGTATAAACACTGTGTGTATATAGGAGCATTTATGCCTGTTTGTTACAGCTATTTTTTTTACTTCCATGTAGTAGGAAATTCAATTTCTTTTATAACATTTTCTACAGATTTCCTATTTTGTTTGAGAGAATAGTGTCTTATATCCAACAAGATGTCATACATGTTGATGATTTATTTCCAGAAGAAAATGGGTAAGATACATTATTTTATCATATCAGTCATTAATGCATTGTGCAGTTGTATAGCTCTTTGATGCAAGTAATGTATTGTGTATTCTAATAATTGTACAGTGTTGATCAAGGATGTGAAACTTTAGAATTAGTTTCAAAGCTTTGAACATTCACACAAGTGCAAACATTTAATTACATATTTGATGATTTATTTGTTTATCATAAATATTGTTACTTTTTTGCTGCTGAAAGTGACACACATCATCATCATTGTTTGATGACTGATTGATGTTAGTGTTGATTGAAGTGGTGCGCACACATTGTTTTCATCATTGCTTGATGTAAGTGGGAGTGTTGACTTAAGTGACACACATCATCATCATCATCATATGATGACTGCTTGATGCAACATGAATCTATATAAATAATAAGCTTGCATTTGTCTGTCCGGAACTTTTCTTGCAAAGCTATAGATCAAATGCTACAAATCTCATATCACTAGAAAGGCCTTTTTCTGAGAAATCTCGATTGCATATAACTTTTCCATTCAAAGTCACCTTACTTGTTTTTTAATGCAATAACCATGATACACAATGGCACAATGTTGTCATTGTGTGATGACTGACTTTGATTTCAACTTTAGCTGTTTTTTGCAAAGTATTTCATAAAATATCACTTAACCCTTGTGTAATTTCCTTAAAAAAATACATTACACTAAATACAATTTCTATGAGCTTTCTAAACTTATTTAGGTCTAAAATATGCATGCACAGTATGTTCAAAACTATATACTTATCACTTTGTGAACACTCATTCAGATGTTTCTGCATATTCAAATAAGTTTGCCTTCATTACAACTTTACATTTACTTTGCATTGCAATAATTTAGCTTTAGTTCATTTCATAGACTTCTATTAACACCCTTTACTTTAGTTACTTTTTTCTTTACTACTGGTTTTATTTTCATTTTGGGAGTTTATTTCTTTCACATTGTAAAACCTGGTCAAACACTGAATGCTGGTATATGTTTCATACCCTGTACTGTCATAAATACCATTACTTCACTTTATTGTTTACTTAGTTTTATTAAATAAGGTTATATACATGTAGTTTCATTAAATAAAGTTGCGCCTATGTGAGTTTGTTTGTCTGACTGCATAAAATTTTCTCAAATAGACCCGGATTTATCAATCTAACACATGATTACAAGAAAGTGTAGCTTAAATGGCATGCATGAAAATGATAGCATAAGGAAAATTCAACCAAAGGAAATGAAAACTATTGCATATGTTTTGTGGGTCATGGCTGTGTAGTAATATTTTTTTTCAAAGATAATTATTAAGAGTAACAAAGTTTTGTGGTGATTTATTAAGTTCTTAGAAATGTGTGATATTTAGAATTGAGAATAACTGAGTGTCGGAGTTGAACTTTCGTCATTATTCATGTGTGTATATGAACTTTATACTTAAATTAACTACTATTACCATCATCACTGCAGTATTTGTTTATATATGAAAATAATTGTGTAATTCCTTATTACTGTTTAGCTATTAATTAGGAATTAAAAGTAACATTAGAAGTTTTGGTTATTTTGTTTTATGATTGCATAGTTCATTCATTGTTTGAATATTACAACAAGTTAGTCTTTAAACTTGTGGCTAATAAATGTTCCAAATGAAACTTAACTTTTTTTTTATATTCTAAAACATTCTTTTTCTCCCTTTATTTGAAGACGGGATTTGATTCACCAGATATCAGCTTGGCTCAAATCTCTTCCATGTTCTAAAGTGGAACGTCAAAAGTGTGGAGCTGAAGTACTTGATGAGCCAGTAGTGAAAGCCATAGAAGAACTAGTAGACAAGTTTCAGGTAAGTTGCACCACCATGGTAATTTATTTTTAATTCAAGTAAAGAAAAATAATTAAACTTGCATATAAGAAAATGGATTATAAACACGTTAATAATAACTTGCTGAAGAGAAATATATTTTACATCAGTTATATCTTTTACAAGTTTAGAATGTTCATATACCATGGAAAAAAGAAATACTTTCTAATTTTACTTTGTTATGTACAATAAAAAATTTAAATAAATATTAAAAACATATCACTCCTTACAAAAAAATCTATATTTTTTTTTATCATTTTAGGATTACAACTCTGAACAATTGAAGCATATTGTGATGCAGGTTAAGCCTAATTTACTGTATCGACCCTTTTATTGCCATGGTTCGTCTGTCCCAGATCCAAACTCTAATTACATGCTTTTTGATCGAGTAATCAATGTGCGAGAAGGTTATTCTGTGCCACTAGGTTTGCGGGGTACGGTCATTGGGATTCATGAGGGTGAGTGTTAGTAGTAGTTTGAAAATATGTTACTTATATATTTGTAAGTATAGAATATTTAATAATTATGTTTTTCTTCTTTGAAACAGTAAGAAATTTATACCTTGTAATTTTACAATAATTGTGAATTTCATTATAAATAGTTTTTATGCCCTTTTAGGACTGTGAATATCAAATAGTTTTTGATATATGTGTGTACGAATGATATGTTGCAGAAATATTTATAGTCTGCCTGTCTGTCTCACTGTTTAAGTTTAATGCGAGAGTTATGATTTAGATAGTTTATGTAGCGCGAGTGTTAAATTCAGTTATTTTTAGAAGTGATAGTTTATGGCGAGCTTGTATACATAACTTTATGAATCATATGTTGTGTAGTTCAATAATTATGAACTGGTGATTGTTATATTATTGTGTCATGTTACTAGAACATTCTAAGTTTTACTTGTTGTTTTAATTGAGAATTATTGTATTAGAATATTTAGTTATAGATCTCTGTTGGGGTATAAATACGAAACAGAAATTTAGTTCTATAGATAGATCTAGATTGAGTGATTGTGAGTTCAGCCATAAAGAGTATATGGTAGTGGTTTTTAAAGGGAACTTATCACAGGTTGTATTGTAATAACAGAGTATAGAAGAATAATTTGTCTTTTCAGTTGTGTTCTAAAGTAACTGAACTAGCCTGTGTAGACTTTGATGAAAAAGAGACAATTATTTAAAGCTCTGGATACAACTATGATAACCAACAGTGTAACAAACATTTGTATACAAGTTTGACTTGTTTTGATATATTATTTTAAAACAAGTGGACTGTGTGCTTTTGTTTATTGTTGAAGTTTAGGGCCATTTATATTCATACTGAAACAAATTAATTTATTTGTTAATGCTTCAAGTTATGTTTTTTTTTATTATTCAATATATGATCAAACAGTACCTTCTCAATTTTCCAGGAGATAAAGTAACAGATACTATGTATGATGTGGTATTTGATAAGTCATTTCCTGGAGGAATAGGAATCAGATGCTCAGCTACAAGAGGGTATAGATTGCAAGCCTCAGCATTGATTAACCTTTCCCATGGAAATCGATTTAAACTGACAACAGAAAATGGTTTTTTGCAGTCCTTTAAAAATGTTGAAGAATCCTTGTTTGATACAGTTTTAAATGAAAAACCTATGACAGAGGTAAATAATGATCAAATTTATGGATTTGTGTAACATGGATCTTTCTTAATTAGTGTATTTTCTATTGATTTTCTGTAGTCCATTATAAGTGCCTCTGTATCAAGACACATGGCAGTGTGTCATGCGGCCAAAACAATGTACAGGACACAATGTGTGTTATTAACAGGAATGATAGTTTAGCAATTTTGCACTTTCTATAGCTCAGACTGTAGTAATCCAAACTAATACATATTTTCAGTGCATGGGCTCTACTGGACCCTTACTTCACATACCAAATTTCAAGGCAATCCATTAAAAAATACACAAGATATAAAATCTCCAATTTTGATTGAATTTTTCCCCCCTTTTTTTTCTTTTTCACACCAAAAGTATGGAAACTTTATTTGATAGAAAAACATACATTATACATTTTTTTCAAAATTGGTACGTTGATTGATCTTTATAACCTACAATTAGGAATCAAATTTGTTTAAATATAAGCCCCATGTGCAAAGTTATTCAACAAAAACTTCTCAAATTTGACCAACATTTTTGCGCACACTTATGCAAAAAGTCACGTGAGCTCATCAGTCTGAAACTTTTACTACAGTTTTACCTAAGAGAAAAAGTGGACTCTTTTAATTTTTTTTTATTCGGATTAAAGACTGCTGACTCAGTAGTAAAACTATAGGGTGAAAGGACTTGCGGATACACAAGTATTGGATAGGCCAAGCAAACTAGATTATCAGTTATTAGCTCAAGCTTCAAAAGAATCATATGGGTGGATGATTATTATTCATTATTCATTGCCAATTTTTAAGCACAAATTTGTTAAATTTAATGAAGTTTTCCTAATTTAAGAACGTTTAGCTTCACAGGATATTAGGTTGAGCAATTAGTGTAAATGATGATGCTTGATACAGCTGCACTGAGTGCATGTGGGTGATAACTAGAAACTGTTAATCTAGAGGAAAACTACCACCATATATTTTAAAGAATCTGGTTGGTTCTGTAAAGTATAGATCTGTTCCAAATAATAGGGTTGCAGTCCTAAAGCTAATGTTGGTTATTATCAAGTGTCATGTCACTTTCTTGCAGTTCTGCATATTTTGTTTTACTCACCATCGTGCCCCAAGTTGAACAAAATACACGGCTTGCCTGTAAAATTCTTATCAATGCCATAAGTGTGTAGCTACCAGTTGGCTGCCAATTTTGATTTCGTTCCCCTAAGTTACATGCTCAATCCTTTTTTTCACACCTAAGTTGTTTTTGATTAGATTCTTATTTATGGGAATTAAACTTGTTGGAGGCATATGTATTTATAAAATTGTAAGCAACTGGGACAGAATTAAAAAATGTCACACATAAAGATAGACAAACTTAGGGTTGAAGCTACAGTGTGGTAATGGAAAAGTGTGAACTTTTTGTTTGTGGATCCTCACCTATTACAAGACACCCTTACCATAGCTATGGTATAACGTGTTGAAGGTCTCTTTCTAGATGGTCCTTGTGTTCCAAGTGGATCCATATAAGCCTTTGTTTTCCAAGGTCATTAAGTACAAAGGATATTTCTGTCTTGGAAATTCTAAATCCATAAATTGAACATATCTTTATGATTTGAATGTATGAATATTTGATATCAGCAAGGGCTGTTACATACCCTTCCCAAATGCAATCAGTTTTTGGTGGCATCACCCTACCTACAAATGCCAAATGATGTCAAAGTGTAGCTCTGATACATACAACATCACTGCATCGTTATATCAGCTAGGGTTGTTACATTAATTATTGTTTTGCATATTCAGATCATTTTAATATAATGTACTCAACCATCTGAATATTTTCACAAAAGTTTGGTAGAATTCACAAAAAATGATTTTTGAAACTAAAATCCTGGAATCTTCCCTTTTGTCACATAGTCTATAAAATGGAGATTGAGGAACATTTTTTTTATGTTTATAAACAAGATTGTAGTTGTTCATAGACATTAGCAAGTATACAACATGCATGTATATAGCCAAAAAATCTCATGTTATCATAGCTTGGTAATCCTCTTTGTTTCTGGTAAGTGAAAGAATAATTTACAAGCAACAAGTCTTGTTTCAGTTACACTGTGCATTGGATAGATATATACTTGTGTATTAGGAACTAAGGTTCTTCGTAAAGGACTTAAGAAGTTTGATGTGATTAACAAAGCTTCACAGTCAAAAGAAGATATATATCACCTGCATGTACCCTTATAAAATAAACTGTAAACAAGCCCTGGAGTTTGTAATGAAGACTTGAACATTGTAATTGCATGCTTTTCTTATCAACTTTTGTTAGTAGACAGTTTTCAGAAGAAAAACATATTCTGTTGTAGTGTAAAAACAAGTATATCTTACTATAGTCTGTGTCAGCTAATTTTTCAGAAATTAATATAATAAATTTCTTAAACATCATCAAGTATGAAGAAAAAGTAAAAGTACCTATAGCAAAGCACAAGAAATACTATACATGAAAGCACATTTTATTTTATTGGCTTTGATTATGTTAAATCTAAAGCTACTGTCATAGATAATGAAAATAGAAGTATTCTAAATAGATTGAGTAGTATGTAACCACTTTAATACACTATATTTATCTACTAGTTATATAGCTTTCATTTATCTGAAAATAGTTGTACTTGTTAAATATGTGTAAAAGTGGTCATACAAGAGGTAGCTATAATAAAGGCACTATGACAATACTTGAACTAATTTGATAACAATTAGGCATCTTTTCAACACGAGAACAATATGAACTCGTCTGAATTTTTTTCATGTGAAAATTGCTAAATTTTTTTGTAATGGTGAATTTGTTATTGTAGGCTTTTTCTAGTTTTATTTATTTCTTGATTAAAGAAGCTGAGTCAACAAACTTGGCAGATTTTACATTTGAATGGAAAAGAGTGTTTGCTCTTCTTTTTGTAAATGCAACTTATTTTCCTAACAGTGAAAAATAATTGATGAACATTGATTTTATGTCCATTCTTCTTCCCTGTTAAAAGTTGTTCATTCAGTACACACTATTAATTATGAAAGTATTTTTTGTTTTAACTTTTTTTTTCTCTCTGTGTAGACCTTTAAGGAGAAAAAAAAGAATTACAAATTTCAGGGAGAAGGAAATTTGGATTCCTTGTATAATTGTAGAAGACCTCAAGAAATACACCATCTGTCTACTCAAACCATAGAGCAAAGTATCCCATTTCAGTATCATCATGCACTTTCACCATCTTCCAATCCCATCTCATGTTATACTGGTCAAAACATGCAACATAAGCATTGGCAGACAAGCCACTGTCCATCCATAAGACAGCCACCTTTCTACAATCAAATTTACAATGTTTACACTTGTGACCCAAGTCAGTCATCCTTTCCACCATCTATGGCTACCAGGGTAAGCTACCTAATTATATTAGGAAAATAATTTTTAATAACTAAGCCATTTGAATGTCATAATGCAAAAATTAACATGGGAACACCATAAAAAGAGATACAAAATACTGTTTCATGTTTGTTGTAATTAACTAAGATCCTTTTGTTTCATTGGGTGACACCAAGACTGTTGTAGTGAAATAAACATTTGTCAGTTTGTATTTTACAGTATTTCTTGTATACATAAACTCTTGAAAGAACCTTGAAAACTTATAATATTTTGAAACAATGGCTAAAAACCACATAACATTGTAAAGCAAATTGTATAGAACAATAAAAGGCAATTCTATGCTTCATAATTTGAGCAACATATTCATCTAGGATTTCAGGACCCAAGATGGAGTTCCTGTAGACTTTGTTACACCAGTCTTTGGCAAGCATCAGGGTACTATGATAGGGTACAGGGATACAGTTGGCTATGAAAGAGTTTCCAGTGGAGGTAGAGAATCCGAAAACACTGAATTAAGCAAGGTACATGTATTGGTTTACATAGCAAATGTATTAAAACAGTGTTTTATGAACTTTAGCATTGCTATTTCATATATTTGCTTTGATCTACACTAAAAACCCTATCAGTGTTCATTAATTAGTTTCTGTTTCTCTTAAATAATTGATTTCAATCATGTTTTTAGCTTTTTATATTGTCAGTCAAAGTCAATTTTACACAATTTAGTATTAGGGATATGTAATTGTTTTATATTTTATACTATTGAAGAAAGCAAAAAGTACAAAACAGAACTACAGTTAACATTTGAGTTCTATCTAAACTATTGAAACTCCTTTAAGTGGAATGGAAAAGCCAAACAATAGAATTATATTTCATATTTCTTAAAGCTATGACAAAGGTCTATTGCATTTCACTGGATTCACCTTGACATCATCATACATATTTCTTAAAGCTATTACAAAATTGATTGTTATATTGCATTTCACCTGATTCACCATGACAACATCATACACAATTCTTAAAGCTATGATAAGGTTGAATGTTGTATTACATTTCATCTGGTTCACTGTGACATCATCATACATATTTCTTAAAGCTATGACAAAACTGAACGTTGTATTACATTTCACCTGATTCACTGGGATATCATCATAAACATTTTGTAAAGGTATGACAAAATTGTATGTTGTATTACGTTTCATCCAATTCACCTTGTCATAATTGTACACATTTCTTAAAGCTATGATAAAGTTGAATGTTGTACTAGCTGTGTGCTCTACTTCTACAATGGAGCAGTGCTATCACTACAGCTACAGCAAAAAAAAAATACTGTTGTCATTACATATTTATAAATACAGCGTGCTATCACTACCACTACTTTTGAAACTGACATTTTTCATGATTATTATTTATTTTATTTTTTTGTCATTGGATAATATAAGAATGAAAAATGCAAATTTATTGGTAAATGATAATACTGTATTGCTACAAATAACATAATACAGACTTCTCAGAACAGCCTATCTGTATTTGTGAATGATGAGAGGAAAGCAGCTAACAACCATACATTCAGTGATAGTACTTAAAGAGCAGAATGTAAAAAAAAAATGAATATAATGACAGTAGTAACAATAAATGAGCCAATAAGCTAATATGAAATAATAAATCTCTAATATTAGAAGATATTACGTCTCTTACTATTTGTCCAGTTTTATTATTCTTTTAATTTTATTTTATTTTATTTCAGTAGCATCAAAATTGTTATCTGTCAGTCCAGCTTTTCTTGGCTCCAAAATGTCTTTCCCTGTTGAGAATATGCACTCTACAGCTATACTCAGTGGAATGGGCATATTGAACTAAATGAAGAGAGATTTAAAGCATTTTCTCAATGACCAAATCAGTTATGAGTGCATTTATTATATGTTGGCTAATCCTCCCAGCACTAACAGCAGTGAAGGCTCCAAGAATTGGTTGTTCTGCTTCCCATTTTTTCTCTTACTGGAAGTATTAACCCCCATCTCTGCTGCTTCAACTGGTCATTTGCTTGACCTGTTTACCTCTGTTCCTCTCTTGATGCACAATTCAAAATCTATGAGTTTTTGGAATGTTTGTAACTAATGTGTTTCTTTAGATTAAAAAGTGATTTCTTATTGGCACTGTAAATATTCGTTTTGGGCAAACACAACTTACACTGCAACAAAACACTTTGGGATTGGGATCCTTTTGCATTTTAACTTCCAACAAATTCAAAATAGTATTTTATGTAAGGCCAAGGATGACTCCTTTGATGAATAGACTCACTGTTAAAAGCTTATGTAACAGAAACGTTGTCTTTTTTTACCAGATTCCATTTTATGACATTAGCTAATGTACATGGCAAAGCAATCTCGCATTAAATGCTGCTTTAATGGAATGAGAAATGGAAATATGGAGAAATGACATCTAGTTGCCTTAGAGAACAAGTTTGCGAGAGCAACTGCATCATGTAACATGTTTGATTGTTTTTTGTATGCAAAATGCATTGTAAATATAATTATATAAAATATACTATACAAAATTATATAATTCTATTATATAGCATAATAGGTATATAAAAATATATATATATATATTATAAACCACAATTTATAATTTACATATATAACGCACAAAATTCTATGTCTGTTTGTCCATTATCTAACTACTATTAGGTTGCTGTGCCAACCTCAACCAAACTTTGTGGAATGAAAGTTTAGTACAAGGGTCATGTTAATTGGGGGTTCACAACTCCTCCACTCCTCATTATTGCTGTTATTGAGCATTTATTATCTTTGATGTAAGTTAATGTTAACTACTTTTGTAGATAGCAAAACATCCTTACACAGAAAAAAAAAAACTTGATTAAATTAATTATAAAACAAGACACACATAGTGTGGAGGGAGAGCACACAAGTGTTATATATATCTCAAGAGTGTGGGCTAGTACTCTATGGAAGAATGCATTTAAAAAAATGATTGCCACTATTGCAGTAATACATAAACTGAGCTGAAATTTGTACTCCAACAGTCACCATAAGGCTGGTATGAAGATCCATATCTTGAGTTATAATCACTTTCTATTTTGACCTGTGACATTTCAACTTTGGCACATACGACACTTCTATAGCCAATGACCATCAATTAATTTATCACATGAAGCATTGTGGAAGGAAATTAAAAGCTGGGTGTTGAAACCTGGTAACAGAAAGCACCCTTACTGGCATTACTTTGGCTGCTACCTCTTTGTAAAACGTCATCCTGACCATCACACAGTGTATACAATGTTTTAAGTAAATACATATTGATAAAGCTTATACAAAACTTTTGGTGAGGTATTAATGAGTACTCTAATAATATTTCATGTTATAAGTAAATTGTGTGAAAGTTGGGATTTTTATGTTATTTATCATACCATTCACCCCCACATTTTTTAAAGTCATAATGCAGATAAAGGACAGGTACCTCAGCTTGTAATATATATGTTTGGGATTTTCATAACTAATTATCCCACTTGAAATATAAACTAGCTGGTTCATATGAATATCTTGTATTATCAATTAAAATGTGTTAACCAAGACAAGTTTCTGATAGAAGTGTCCAGTTCACGAATTTAATGAAACATTTAACAGTACTTGTCAACTAAATATTTACATAAAAATATATTAATAAACTTTCTGAATTATTATTAAATTAAACTGAAAACATACATTAAATATTAAATGTAACAATATTATGTAGTATTACGTCATGGATAGCCAGCAAGCCATCGATTCAGCTGAATATGTCAGGTAGCATAAGAGAGGATAATTAAGTCTGAAACAATATATATATAATAATTATCTATATACAATGTACAAATGATTATAATTTATATTTTATATCTGGAATGTCTATTTTCTGCAGATTTGCAGCTTTCCAAGTTTCTTCACCATCTGGGTAATTTTCTAAGATTCGTGTAAATCTGATTTAAAAATAAAGGGTAGGCTGGCCAGCATATGCTACCATGATGTGTTGTAAACAAAGGGTTTGACATATAATTACAATGCAACTCTCTCATTGGCTGCTCTCCGTGTAACATTCCACTGCACATGCACTGTACAGTATAGCTATGGCTGCCTCCATTATGCCCCTGTGAAGACAGCAAATTGTCAGATAAAGTTGAAATAGAATCCATCGAAATCCATATTAATAATTTGCCATCCAACCACAAAAACATAATCAGTGGACCACCCCATTTTCAAGTGTCGACGTATTTATTAGATATGTCAAGCCATTTATCCTAAAGTGAGCTATGAAACTTGGATGAAAAATACTGTTGGATTTATTTCATCATTGAACCAATTGGTCACATTTTGACAGCTGCACAGAGCTATTCTAACCACATGTCGTACTGTAAGTAGACACAATATCTTTGAGATGAAAATGCTTGGATCTAAATGGAATACTTTTATTCTGAAAGCTGAAAATGTTCAACTTTAGGCAGGTACTTGGCTGGTTTCATGTGGGCAATAATAGGGTTATTTACTAACTTAGCAAATACGATGATCGACTATTTACTGTTCATGAGCAATGAATCAAAAAAAAAAGATAACCCCTTTACTGGAAAAATAGTAGATTTTCACAGGATACAATGTACTTGAAAATATTCATATTTTTTACCCCAAACATCCTCAGAATTGCTCTGAGAGCACCTAATTTTCAACATTTTTTTTTTGGGGGGGGGTTCATGGTGCCACCTGAACCACCAGCCAGATTTTTTCATGCTACATGATTGTAGCCTGCTTTGTGGGATTACAGAGATTTTTATTTTTTCCAGTTGACATCACTGTTATAATTAAAAATGTAGCAAATAGTGCTTTGCATAGATGAAAAATGGAGCAAAACTACTTGAAATCGCTAAAATTTTCCAAATGTAGCATCAATTCACAAGTCACTCCTAGGAACATAATGGCACTATGTACAGCTCTGATTACATTTCACCTGGTTCACTGGACATCATAATACACATTTTTTAAGCTATGACAAAGTTGCATATTGTATTACATTTCACCTGATTCACCTTAATGTCATCACACACATTTCTTAAAGCTGTGACAAAATTGTATTCCTGTGTGAGAAGAGAAAAAGCAAAAACTTTGAAGAAGTTTTCTTCCAGTTTCAAGGTAGACTTTTAGTTTAAAACTATTTCTTACATTTTCTTTGGGAAAATGGGGAAAAGTTGCATATGTTTTACATATCATTAATATGTAATCTTATGCATCTTTCATTATCACTGCAGGTTCATTTCTTTTCATGGTTCTAGTTTTAGTGAGCATATTAGAAGGCACTGACCTGTAATGGATGTTAGAGCTTTAGTATATTTGTTAAATATCTATATTCATTTTTATCACAACTTGTAAAATTTTTGTCACTTTCATAAGTACTTGTATTCACAGTTGAATAAATCTAGAACCTGTTTATTTCTTATGTAAATTATGTGCATTTTATGAAATACAGTGATTTGCAAAAATATTCACACACTCCAACAAAGTTTCCACATTTTGTCATCTACTCCAAACTGAGAAAGCTAAAAAAATGCTTCCAATACGGTACTTACCTCTGCTCATAAGATTAGCTATTCTAGTTCAGTGCTGCCCTCTATATGCAAACATTTTCTTTGCACATGCCACAAAGCCTTGCACTCCCCCTTGTTAGAATTAGCACATTCCAACATGTCTCTCATGCAAATCATCGTGCGTCATCTATTAACCAACAGTAGCTCATGTAACACATGTGACTCCGTCTACACTCCTCTACCAAACCTTCACTTCTCATTTGGCAGCTTTCGAGTACAGACATTTTCTTTTGTGCTTCACGCTTTCCGTGTGACATTTTTTATTTTCATTTGAAATGGTTATATATTTTGTTGTTATACATTACCACATTTCTCCCATTTTATTATCGTCGCTTTTCTGCACTAGACAAATTTGTGCAATTTTTGTGAGTTATGAATTCCGAAGTCAATGTTACAAATTTGTGGGGCACACCAATGACTAATCTTCTATCTCAGACCTCGGGTGCGAATGACCCAACTGTGGATCTTTCTGATTTTGTCTGTCAGGAGATTGAATGCTACCGATGTCGTCTGAGCTCCTTCAGATTCTGCTGACATTATTCAGCATGCCAACAATTTTGATAGTCTTTTCTTCTTGCATAGTTTGCTGTTCCTTCCCAGTTCCAGCCTGAACATTCACCTCTGTTTACATGGATTTGGTATCTCAGTTTTGTGATTTTTTGTCTCTTTCCCCTATTTCTTACTCCCCTCATCCTTTTTTGTAGCATGAGCAATCTTTTAAACCATTTTTTTTTGTATTTCCTCCCTTTCCCGATATTCGGGTCCATGTGGATCACTTTCTCTCCCAGTTAGGTGAATGGATCAATATGCCGTGCCCCCGAGAGCCTCTGATCAGTACACCATTGCTTGCTATTGGGTGGAATATCCATTCTTGGATCACCAGTTGTTGGTCTCCTTATTACCTCTTTGGGGTGTGGCTCCCAAATCTAATGTTAGTCTCAGACATGCCCAATATTCTCACCTTTCTCTTACCCTTACTACCCTTCTCTGGTATCTGTCTTCTATACATCTCCTTTCAGAGGCTCTCCACAGAAATCCCGGGGGATTTTCTATTGAAAACCCTTCACCTTCTCTCTTCCACTTTGGCCCATATTTCTTCCTCGGCTCTGTTGTTGCCTAGGTGGTTTCTTTGTT